ATCTCTGAAACATAAAAAGCCTCCGTTTATGCTTCAGTGAAATTGACCAAGTCATCCTAATGGTATAATGGCAGAGAGAACATTTGAGTAACAGAATGTAACGGTTGGAGGATACCTTATGTCAAATAATAGATCTTCAAAGTAAAGTTAATTACATCGTATTATAGGCAGTCAAAAACTGATAAAATACATGATTATTTGGGCAAAACTTAGAAATAGTTGCTTTTGATTTGTCAGTTATATTTAAGGCGTACACATTAGAAACAATGTGAAATTTAAGGTAGCTATTTAGTGTATAATTTTGTAGTCTGATTTTGCCTTCCGAGAAGACAAAAAAAAAAATGTCCGGCTCCTTAGGAACCTAAAAGAATAGAGCTTTTATCGTAAATAACCAGATATAAATGTTTTAAAAGGAAAAGACAGGCTATAGAGCTAGGATGCACGATTTGTGGAAAAGAAACAACATTAAGGAACGCAATTTTAATTTCCATTTAATATTCTATTTCGCTTGTTTGGTTTTATGCAAATGTGTTTTATATGCTTATGATTCATGTCTGTATCGTGTATTCGTTTCATAGGACTGTTTATATGTCAGTGTTATGCAATTTAATTCCTTAATTTAACAGTTATTAGTTCATTGATAGAATTGATAGAATTGGCGGATTTGTGAGGTGATCCCATTTTCAGATGTGTAGTATTTGATAGAGATTTATGAATTAATCCAAATATATATATATATATATATATATATATATATATATATATATATATATATATATATATATATATATATTCTTATGCATATTTAAATTAATAACCTTTGTCTATAGGATGATACTGTTTACTGTGATTTATTGATAATTGCATTTTGTATATATAATTTTTTAATTCTTAAATGATCTTGCATGCTATTGGTTACTGTAAGCTAGGATTTAGTGAATCTTATACACTAGTAATTGAACATTTATGTCATTGAATGGAATTAACTTGCTAGCTGTAAGAATAAGTATAGTAGTCAGCTAGAACGAAACATATAGTAATGTATGCTGATATATACGGCAAGTTGTTTTTATATTACACCGCCCACCGGTCAATTGCTGCTAGGAGGTGAGGTCTAATTAAGGCAAGCTTTGATATATATATATATATATATATATATATATATATATATATATATATATATATATATATATATATATATATATATATATATTACAGGGGTAATAGGTAAGGACCGTTAATCCGTAAGGTCATAGTAGGCCAGAATTTACGCAGCGTGAATAGCTATTCGTGGTTCTGAAATAATGAAAGTGAGAGATTTTATATATAATCAGATAGGTGGTGAACACATGTACCACTTTAGCTGTAGTATTGTCATTTAAGGGAACAGATTTATATATCCATTCTTCAACAATCCAAGAGATAAGTAAGCAAATAGAGAGTTCAGAGTAGAAAGGACCAGAAGAAGACCAAGCATACACGCTAGACGTGGAATTACCAAGTCTAAAGAGGGAGACGCCAGGTGATGCAAGACGGCGTAGACATTGTATTCCTATCACCACTCGTTAATATGATGAACAAATCCGTAAATTGAACATTGCTATTAAATTTCATTAGTGTAAATATGTTGAGTTGAAAATGCAATTTTGTCTTAGTTTATGCATTAATCAATTAAAGTTTATTTTACTTTATTGTTATGGGGGCTGGTATTTTTTTATTTCTTCTCAATAGTCTCGCTTATTTCTCTGTCAATGTAATCTATCTATATAAAATCTACTCACATTTGGCAATAACATCGAGGGAGATCACTCCCTAGATAACGATAGACAATGTTTATCATAAAACATCACAAAACTCCTGCTTTTAAAGCATTAATCAACAACATGTCAGCTCCAAAGAACCAGCATAACTACACCAAAGGGCTGTCTCTGCATGATCGTGTTTAGGAAAGAGCACTGCAGCATCGCACGATTGTCTGTGTCAAATCATACTTAGTTACACAGAGATACCGACTGAATTATCATTTGCTCGCCAATGTCTAGCTTCCCTGTAACATATATTCAATTTAGAATATTTTGGGATTCTCTGAAATTATGCGTAAATGAATATTATTTTTTTTAGTCAGCACAATAAGTCGCTAATTTTGATAAAGCAAAAGAAAATAGAATTACACTATTAACGCGCAACGTAATCAATTCTTCTCTGAAACCAAAAAGCCCCAAAACAAACAGCAACTGAGGGTAACTATCCTACATACCATAATCTCACTCCTTATGCTTTGCCTTCAGCAATCACAGGTATGTTTTTAACTTCTTCGTAGCATAGTCAGGCTTTGGAAAAAAAAGTGTAAATCATAAAAAAAAATTAAGTGTGAAAACCAGTCAATTCAATTTTAAATGTTAGACACAGAATTTCAGATTTTTATGAAATAAGCAACATTCAGATATCCTGACCATTTGATAAAACATACAAGCGCACTGCCCTTCTTTAAGGAATCACGCTACTATATCAATTCCTATAGTAAACCTATGCAAACACCATGCTATTAAAAATTCAATAACTTAAAATTTCTGAGTGCTTATATTCAGACCTATATATACATATATCAGTATAGATGAAACCTGGAAGTCAGCTTCTTTGTAAAGAAAAGGATATAAGCCGCGACATTTTCTGGATTTGCATGTGTTTGAAATATGTTCTTTTAATTCCGCACCAAAGAGACAGGTGTTAATTTTACTACTGAGTGTTCCAAACTCAAGACTGTTAAAGAACTCGAATTCCATCAATTAAACAATTTCTCTACTTTGTTCACTTACACTAGGTTAAACTCTCAAAAGATTCTTTTCCCTAAAACATAACTTACATTATTAACCAACATGGCCATCCAAACCCATATTTGCTCTATTCAATATTCACTCATTTCCATGCTGGTTCCCATTTTTCCATACCATTGGTACCGTGTGTCCTTAAAGCAAAAGAATTTCACTGAATGGGTGCTATACATACATACATACATACATACATACATACATACATACATACATACATACATACATACATACATACATACATACATACATACATACATACATACATACATACATACATACATACATTACGGTATATGGGAGACAATTCTATCGTGACTTGTCTCCCTTGTACTGAAAAGTTATTTCAGATGTAATCAGTTACTATAACAGCAAGGAAGAGAGCAGCCTCAAGATTAATAGTAGATAAAAGTAAAATAAAATTATTCAAAGTAAGAGTAATGTACACAATTGACATATGAAGATAATGAAGAATCACTTCTAATTGTTTTAGGAATGTTTGGTGTTTCATTTATTAAGGAAATATATGACCCATGCGAGGTATACTCAGCCTCCTCCCTTCCCGGCCACTACCATCCGACCCCATTTCATGATATGTCAAAATCCCGTAAATATAGGAAAAAATCTCATTCCAGACAAAAATGAATAATTATAATGTAATTGTTATAATTATACACATATTGAGCACATGTTGCATTATTTAAAATTAACTTTGCTTTACGAAATAAAGTCACGGAGTGAATAATTTTGTTCCAACAATGCTTCAGCAAATGAGTTGATTATAAACGGCACTGATTTCAATATCCAGGTTTAATGACCATGTTTGGTGGTACGAACGACATCAATAAACTCTGTACTTTCGATTTCTATAACGATTTCATGGGGTTAGGCACGGCAAATTGTTCCGCATAAAAGCCATAGAAAACCTCTAATATTATTGTCGATAGAGTATACAGGATGAAACTGTAAACACTTTTGACGAAAACAAATCGAGTAGAACGAAATAGTCATCATATTCTATTTTCTTTTCAGATATATTTATGGCGATCAATGAAAATATTAATTCAAATTTCCAAATGAAAATTCTCATTATCCAAATCTAAACAAAGCTGCGTTTTGGAGCTTGTGATCAGAAGTACATATATGCCGGGATCATTAATCAACTGTTTTGGTGGCTTTAGCTCTCAACACGAATCTACTTTTTTCATCATAAGATCCCAACACATCTCAGCAACAAATGAAGGGTGAGCGAATTTTGGGGTCAGACAACCAAAACACAACCCTTGTGCTTATTTTAGAAGTTGCAACCATTATACCAAACTATTTTTTAACTTCATACCTCTATAATCGACTCAGGAAGACGTAATACCGGTACTCACAACAATATCCTCCCTCCTATTATTCATAATCGGTGGCATTCTCTATAGATCTGTGATCTCAAGCATGGACTTGCTGGTTCATGTTACAGGTAACTTACTCTCAAATCAAGTGATCTTATACGATATTCCAGTGAAGGAAACAATATATACAAAAATGCGCCTGGTTACAGGCTGTCGACTCGTTTGAATTGATTTTTAAAAGTTGCTTCCTTTTACATTGCTGCGTTCAAATACATGCAAACAATTTAACGCATGTTACCTAAATTGAGCCTACTTAATTTTCCTATACTACGTGCACTGTATTCGCACTAAAGAAAAGATCTTTAAAAGTTAGTCTGATTGGACCATTGCAGTAAACATTTTGCGGGTTCTGTGCATTGATTTTAATTTAATTTACAGGTACATGAAATAGACAGACCCCAAAAGTGGGTCTAAATAAAAATTATGACTTAGAGAAATAATTACTAATCATCCTTCTGAGTTTCTGGGGTTAGATATTTGTTTGTCACAACTACCATAAAATTTGTTGGCAGTAATTCATCAACCTGTCATTTGACCCATTAAGTATTCACTTCAGTGATGTGATGTGATTATGATTTTTAATGTAGCTTTAACAATTTTTAATCATATCGTTACGATGTCTAAATGTGGCACTGTATAGTAATGTTTAGCATTGGGCCCGCAGACATGTAGCATGATGTTTCACACAGTCACATTATCCAACAGTCCTAACATTAACTTCTTAATACTGAGCACCTAGCAAGGTAGCTGTTCGTACTATTTTGTAAATTTTTGGTAAGACTCGACCAGGGATCGAACCGACAACCTCCCGCATCCGAGACAGACGCTCTACCAACTAGGCCACTAATTCTATAAAAAAAATTAAAACCATGTACAACTGGCAGGTTCTTATTATTCAATCTACACCAAACAGTCAATTCTTTCAACATTTTTCATTTCTTTGCTTTAGTTTACAAGGTGTCATAAACTCCAAAATTCATGAAATTCGATACTCATGAAACGATCATAAAATTCAATTCCTTATAACTTTATTATGAAAATGAATATTATTGATGAAGTATAGTACAGAAATAAACGGAATGTCTTCTTTAGCGAAAGTCCAATTTTTGATGGACCATTAATCTACACAATACAGATGTTATATTGATATATACAGTATTAATGTATTATTTATTTATTTACTGCAGCTTTTGTAATATTTAGTTTTATAACACATTTTAAGCAATTTAAAACAACTAAATTTATTAACTGTAATATTTTCTTATGATTCTTTGCATCAGTTTGTACATTCTTTCATTAGCAACCTTTCCAAATAATCTTATTATGATAATCATTCAGAACGAGCCATAAAAATTATATGCAGTACTTGTTCCAATGTAGTAAACTTTTCAAGTATTCCGCTTCCTGTATATCAATACCTTATCTTTAGGTATAGACTTTATGTGATATATATATATATATATATATATATATATATATATATATATATATATATATATATATATATATATATATATATATATATATCAGGATAAGATTGTATACATGTAATAGTATATGCTTGGAACATGTGCCTTGTAAAAGTGGACAATAAGTAGATACCAGGGACACGTGCTCTCTGAAAATGGACAGATTAGTAGATGCAACTAAGATTAGGTACACCTTATGAATGTGCACCTTCAAAGTGTTAAGGTGAGTAACCCCACCCCTAAAATAATCCAATGTGAAGAAACATTTGGCACGTATTTTTATCTCGTAAGAAGACTGGAAGAAATCAACAGTGACTTTATATATTAACAAAATCAAAGGCAGATTTGCTTTAAATTATTCGTTTAACTCTGAAAGTTTTTTGTCATTGAAGAGAGAAGAATTACTAATTGTAGAACATATCAGCATATCTTTCTTCAAATGTCCTCTATCTGTACAAGATGTACAAAGGTATACGTATATTTATGTAGGTTTTGAATAGGAGAATGCCTATCGATGGAGTATCAGCAACGTTAAGGAGACCATATTTGAATAAATTCACACTTCTAAAGGAAATATGCAAAAGTTTCTGCAGCACCTATAATTTACACACAATGTAGCATCTTCAGGTTTTCTGCTTTAAATTGGTATTAGTGAACTATGTCTGGAACTTTTATTTATAAATTAGATAGGAAATAACAATATTTTGAAATTTAATGTCGAATACTTTTAAACATTCAATATATTTGTGGGTGTAATATCACCAAATTAATTGCTTTTAGATGACACTATAATCTTTTATCAAATACAACGAATATTTGAAATTGACATTTGAAATATTTCTTTTCTTTTCAGAAAAATTGGTGAATTTTGATTTATTTTATTTGCCACGTTGTTACATGTCAGAAAATGTATACATTTATATATTTATCAAAAGTAAGATTGAACAGCAAACTTGTACAAACAAATCTGCACAAGAGTTTCAACGTTTAAGTTATAAGTTTTAACATCTTGATGTCCGTCTGACGTGTATGATTTAGAGCAAACATTATTATTCCCCATAACATTCAAAAACTAGTTTTAAATGTCATGTTGGGTCTGATCCAAGTTTGATTGAGAGATTTGTCAGTTTTAATATTTTTATCTTTCACATCAGTTGAATTTCTATTTAGGATTTCCATATTTTCCCTTACATTTGCGGGTCTTGTTACGTATATGTCTTTCACAAGAATTTCAGACATTAAATTTGCACATTTCAAGAATGAGGCTGATATTGGAAAATTTCAATGCATTATTATAAGTGTTGGAAATGACAGTATAAGTAATGCCATAAATTATTCTGAATGTTGCAGAATAGTAAAGTACGTTGATATTTGTTTTTCATCCATCTTTATACCGTATATCAGGGAACCCACCAATCCAAAGTGAATGCTAGGAGGGTGTGAGGAGGTTACAGAATTACACACTACATTTAAATAAAATAAATGTTAATACAATTTTATGTTATGTATTAATGCACAGTAAAGCCCATATCGATTTGTTGACAGGATTAGTGTACTTCAACTGAGTTTTGTAAGGAGAGTCCATTTACTACATAATGCTTTTGTACGGATTTGCCTTTTAACAGCTTTAAAAACCACTGAGTTGTGCTTTTTCAGAAAAGTTGAATCCTGTACACACATCCCATCTAGAATAATTTTGCAAGAGACATAAACTCCATTCAGTTAGTTCTTCATACTCCACGTGTCAGAAAGCGGTTTAAGAATAGAGATAGGGTTTCTCTTGGTAGTGTGTCTTATTTTAAAGATTCTATTGGATCAGAAACTTCACTATCCGAAATCCAAAACTAGTTTGCATATTATGGACCTTGTCACAAATGACGTACATCCTCATCAAGAAGGCATTGTTTGATGCTGAGGCCTTTTCCTCCTCTAATACATCTGTTGATGACCTGATTTTCTTTGTGTTATTGAAGTGATCCTTTAATGGTTTTATCGGTATTTAATGGGGCTTGTTTGAACCTGTTCGGAATGATTAGGCAATCTGAGTTCAGCAAATGAAGTTTGGCCTCAGCCTTTACATGCATATGTGGAAGGAGTATTTTTATGCTATTTATGTGACTTTATAAGAATGTGTTGTCAACTTTTATTGGGCGGGTTGGAGCCTTTACTGTAGCTTTGACAAAAAGCGAATGCAAATATTGATACAGTTCTGTTTATTTTCTCAATTATCCTGAGAGTGGTGTAGACCTGTCGTAAGTTAAAGCATTTTATGTTGTTGTGATGTTTGTCTCTTACTAGACCGCAGTAAACTCAATAATTATAGTTTTCTAACATTTAGTTTACACACGTGATGGATGTATTGCACACGTGCTAAGAAAGAGCCCTAATAATGCGATGCTCAAAAGTTTAAAGTCAAGGACATCCTGAAATAAGGAAATAGTTTTTGCACAACAACTAGAGTTCTCCATCATCTTCAGCCAAAAATCCTTCCGAAATAAATGAAGTCTAACTTAACTAATTTTGGGTCACTGAGAACGAAAATGATGTTTAAGATTGTTGATTGTCTACAATGTTTAATGACAAATAATGCACTTACCAGCCTGAAGGAATCAGTTATCCGTCAACACATTAATCCATAAGCAAATTTCACTGTAATACTTGGCATATTTCCAAAACAGGAAAATAAATTTTCAATGAATCCGTAAATTTGAAAGTTTAGCACATTATCCGCTGGGGTCCGTATTTGGTGAGTCTATTATACACGAGCGTGCTTTTACAATCAATATTAATTACAACATAAGTATGTCACAAATAGTTTCACTTTCTCTAAAGAAAAGAAGAGTTATATATGATAATGACACGGATATCATTACATTTTTGTATTAATGCCCCGCATGTAAACACTAGCGCGTGAACTATATTATGCAAGGAAGAGTTCTTTCTTACTTAAATGGATAATACTTGGTGAGAAAAATAATCTACGTTGGGGTTTGGACTGAGACGAGGAAATGCTAGGGTTACATATTGTCTCCCCACTTGCTTTACTTCTTACCTGAAGGATATTGTACACTCAAAACATGCGGGATCATAGCAAGAGATATCAAAGGTCTGACTGATGGATTTAGACCTTGATGATCAGTTCCATAGATCTGACTACTTTCGCGTTTGGACATCAATGATTTAGTTGTGTTATGTCTATACAGTGCAATGGACTCTGACGAACTAGAGACGAAGTCGCTATTTAAAATCAATTCTGTTGGATTACTTTGACATCCATGCAAAATCTGAACATGTCCATATTGTTCCAAACATTCTGTACTGCAAGCAAATGCAGTTATCCTGTTCGCCTCACCTTCGCTTTTTGTGCTCTTGGAGACACGTTTTATTCGTGTATTTTGTAGTGTGTTGACCGAATTTCGTTCAGGGTATCTAAGATCATCTAAATTTGATCGGTCCAGTTTTGGAAGATTTGTTCTGGATATCAACAAACTATTTGGATTGGGTTCCTCCTTGGATGATTTTCATCGTTACTGGATTTAGATGATTTTATACTTCCATCGCTACTGTCTACAATGGGAGTTTCTGACCCGTTTATCGCTGTGTCATCATCTTCCTTGTTATGTTCGTCGTCAACTTTATTATTAGTTCCTGCTGCAATCATTGCATCCTCATCATTTTTCTCCTGAAACTGACTGTCAGATTTCGGGAGAAAAAAAATGTAATTTGTCTTATTGTGGGACTCGCCTGTTGTTTTGAAAGCCGTTCAAATAGTTTATCTCTCGTCTGATGTTTCGACAGCTTTTCTATCAGATGTTTTGCTTTATGAAGGAATTTCCGCTTGCGTTCATCATTACAGGTTTGACTGTGGGTTTGATATGCAAGTCCAGCGTAATTTTTGTCCTTTCTTTGCCCCTGAAAAAAAAACCAAAACAAAACAAAACAAAACAAATAATAATAATAATAATAATAATAATAATAATAATAATAATAATAATAATAATAATAATAATAATAATAATAATAATAATTATTATTATTATTATTATTATTATTATTATTATTATTATTATTATTATTATTTGTCTTGTTTTGTTTTGGTTTGGTTTTTATTATTATTATTATTATTATTATTATTATTATTATTATTATTATTATTATTATTATTATTATTGCCAACATTTTTATTATAATAGAAAATTAACAATGTACGAGGAGGACAAGCAAAGATGGGTAAAACAAGTAATCAATTATGTACCGCCATTCTTTCTGAGATGGGTCGAAAACGTCTATTTATTAAGTTACTGCAAAGGCCCAGGAATCCCACATATAAAATAAGTAAGAAATATTGTAATTTGCATTGTATTATCCTTTAATATACATT